TGCTCTCTTGGGCTGAGCAGGGACCAGCGGGGCAGAGAGGCCGGCGCGCCTTGGGGTGCTGACGCAGGGAGGCCGCTGGACCTGCTGCTCCTGGGACCTTCCTGCTCCCCAGCTAGAGGAACCCCGATACTCTGATGGATCTGAGGCCCTGCTCGCTGCTCCTGCTCTGGACTCTGGTGGTTGCCCTCGCTCTCCTGGCCCAGGAGGTGCTGGCACAGCGTATTTACACCAACACCTGGGCCGTGCTCGTTCCTGCGGGGCCCCAGGAGGCTGACAGGCTGGCCAGGAAGCATGGATTCCTCAACCTGGGCCCGGTGAGTCCCCAGTTTCCCTCTCCCTGTGGAAGCAGTGTCCTCTACTGTGCTTTGGGTGGGTGCTGGGCTCAGCCCCGGAGCCAGCTCAGGGGCTGCTCTTTCTGGCAGCAGGGCCACTGCGTTTGTGCTCGTTCACTGCTGCGTTGACTCGAGGGTGGTAATTAGCTGGATGGAGCTGGGGCTTCCCCCCACCAGCGGGACGGTCTGGTGGCATGGCATGGCATGGCACGACATGATATGGCACACTGCCTGCTGGAGGGGGAACGAGGAAAAGCCCATCCCAGCATGAAAAACTTGGGAGTGCTGTGCATTGATGGAGAAGGGGAGGGCTCCCCGTTACCAACAGTGCTCCCCGTAACGAGCTGCCCCAGCGCGGCACAGCCTCTGCTCAGCCGGTGGCAGCAGCACCCCTGGGTGTCCCCAGAGCAGGCAGTCTGACAGCAGCCGCACGTCCTTGGCCCTAAACTGCCCTTCACAGAAGGTGTGTCAACAGGTCCCCACTGCTCTTGGCTTTCTCTGCCGTCAGCCAGTGGAGGGATGGGGCAGTGCACATGGCTGTGCTGGGGCTGTCACTACCATCACCCTCCTGAGAGCGGGGTGGGGACAACAGGGGGACAGTGAAGGAACCGGGGCCCTTTGTGTTCCTCACAGTCCCAGCCTTGTCCCCAGCGCCAGGAGCTCCACGGCACTCTCCTCCTGGCAGCCTTGACAGTGCCCAGCTCCCCTGTGCTCCAGGCCCTAGGCAGTTGGCTCTGCTTTCCCTGCCCGGCTGCGGGCTGTGCTCTCGGTAGCAAGGGTGCTCACAGGTCTGGCTCCTGAGGTGTCGGTGTGAAAGCCAGGCCTTGGCCGAGAGCGGTGGGACTGGGTGGGCCGATGGGCAGGCTCCTGCTTGCCAGCATGGCGGTGTGGGCAGGACGTGTCTTTGTTGGCAGGCTGCTTCTTGCAGTCCAGCGCTTCTTGGTGCCACTGTTGTAGCGTGATGCTGGCTGCCCCGTGCTGTCTGCACAGGCTGATCTGTGGGGCTTTTCTCAGCCCTGCACCACGGGCAGGGCACTGGCCTCCAGGCTGGCAGCCCGTAGGGGCTTTGCCGATGGAGCTGGCGCCAGCATGGCTGCCGGGGTCAAGGGGATCCCACAAGATCCCCAGCAGGGCTGGCCCAGAGGGATGTCCCCCCAGACTCCACGCTGGGAGCTGGACTGGTGCTGCTGGAGTGAGGTGAGGCTGGTGCTGGCGCTGGCGGAGCAGAGCCCACATGGCTCGGGCATCCCTTGCTGGGCTGCCTGCATCCCCAGGGGTCCGTTACCCCAAGAGCGCTGCTGCTGGGCTGGACTGGTTCTCTGGGCAGGAAGCGAGGGGCGAAATCCCAGAGGAAATTGCACAACTCATGGCTGCGGTGTCAGGACCTCGCTGTGAGCAGCTGCCACAGCCGTGGCAGGCGGGGAAGGTGGCTGCAGCTGGAGCCAGCAAGTGCCTTGTCCTGCCGCCCAAAAGGAGCCCTGCGTGGGGTGGTGGATATGCAGGGCTCTGGGGACAGGGAGCCCCGAGTCCTCTGGGGCTTGTGCTGGAGGAGGGAACTCTGCAGCAGCTGGGGTCAGGCCCCACTGAAGGTGTCTGCACTGAGTGGGCAATGAGGCGGCTTCATACAGGTGCTGTCTGCATGGAAGTGTCTTAGAGCCAATGTCAGAGCAAAGGACGTGTCGGGCCAGGGCTGCTGCCGTGCAGAGGGGACCAGGAGAACTGCCCAGGACGTGTCCCACTGCGCCAAGTCTCTGCGGAGACTCATGGGAGCGGTGATGGGCCAAGGTGCCATCAGCCTGCTCCCAGCAGCGTTCCCCGTCATGCTGCAGTGCCGGGTCCCGGGCCCAGCTGCCAGGGCTGAGGAGCACCGGGCTCTGTGGCCGTGTCTCCACTGGCCCAGAGGTGCCTGTCAGGCTCTGACCTGTCACGCAGAGCCGCGCAGGGCCCTGTGGCTCGGCAGGGAGCCCAGGCCTGGTTGGGGTCCATCCCTGTGCACCACAGAGGCTCTCCACCAGCTCTGCCCGGCAGAGCTCACCTCCCTGCACCATTCGATCTGCGCTGGAGGCTGGCACCTCTCCCCCGGCTCCCCGAGCCCGCTGAGCTGCCGGCGGAGCAGCAGCAAGGCAGTGCCTGCAGGCAGAGCCCCGCGGGCTGCGGCAGCTCAGGCTGCTGGTCTGGGCATGTTTTTGCTCGTTCTGAAGCCCGTCCTGGTGTCTGTGCTGCGGGACGAGGCTTGGCTGGCCTGGGCAGCCCGCTCCCACGGAGGGGCCGTGGTGTCCTGGTGGGAAGAGCAGGGCTGGAAGGAGCCAGGCTTTCCCTCCTGGGAGGTTTCCGCACTGCTGTTCCTGGGGGGTGTGTGCTGCGGGGACAGGATGCGACAGCCAGCCTGGAAGGCGGGGGAACCGGGTGTTTCTGGCAGTGCCCCAGTGAGAGGCCCCCAGGGTCCTTATCTGCGCGGATCCTGGCCTCAGCGCGGGGTCTGGACACTGTCCTCGAGGCGTGCTGTCCTGGCATACTCCCTGCTCCACCGCTGCCTGCAGAGCCAGGGCAGGCGGGCAGTCTCCTGGGCCAGCGGTGCCTCTGGCAGAGCTGTCAGGACCCTTGTCCGGTGCCAGTGGCCTCGAAGGTGACCCAAAACACAGTGTGGGGTGGGGGCGGTGGTGTCAGAGGAGAGGGATGGATGAGGCAGTGAGGCAGGAGTGCCGTCGTTCTCCCCACTGGGGCTGGTGCAGAGGAAGGGGTGCAAGTGCTGCCTGCCCCAGCTGGGGATGGGGGGCACCAGGGAAGGGTCTGGCTGCTGGTGCCAGCCTTGGGCTGCACCGGCAGGACACCGGGGCCGAGCAGCCGCAGCCCAGGTAGGAGTGCTCTTACCTCCCATACCACTGGGCTGCAGGTCCCTGCTGGACCCCTGCACATCGCCCTGCTCCCGGGGCCGTGGGTGGGAGTGCGGCAGGCCGCTGGCCCCGAGGCTGGGTGGGGGGGGGGGGGGGGCTGAGGCTGAGGCAGAAGCGGTGAGCTGGCACTGCTCTCCGTGGGATCAGCGCTGCCCGCCCTGGGGACGCAGCGAGTGGGGGACGGCTCTGCCCTTGCTGAGGACAGGGACTGTGGGGATTAGGGTGGAAGCGTGTGGGTTGGCCGGCTCCTGGCTACCACCGCAGTGTCTGTGCAGACCTAATCCAGTCGGATGACCAGGCAGAGCCGCAGTCTGCTTGCAGGAACAATCAGGGCTCTGTCCTTACCCCTGGAGGGGGTGAGGGGGTGCTGGGGGGAGGGCAGCTCGCCTGCAGCTCGCTTTCCCCTCTGCCAGCCCGATGGAGAGGCTTTTCACCTCAGCAGTTTCCCAAACGCTCTGAGCTGCCAGACATCCCGGGCTGTACTGGGAGGACGTGATGTGCTGTGGGGAACAGGCTCGGGTCTGTCCCCGGTGACTGGCAGTGCTGGAGGTGCAATGCTGCCCTAACAGGCAGGGCTGCAGCTCTGCAGCTGGCTGTGCCCTGCAGGGAAGAGGTGCAGAGCTGCGGGCTGAGTCCTGGCCTTTCCTCCACCAGCCCAGGGTAGGAGCAGTGCTCAGCTGCCACCGGCACTGGGGAGCGCAGCCCCACGTCACGAGCACCACATCTCGGGGAGCTGGTGTGGTTTGCGGGTTCCCTGGGTAACACCAGCCGGTGCAGTGTGGGGTTGATTTGCTGCATTGTCCCCTGCCCCGAGCTTGCTCCTCACCACAGCCCCAGCTCTGGGGGACACACGCAGAGGGGAGTGGGGTCCTGAGCTGGCGACTGTGAGCTTTGTCTGCCCCTTCCCTGGGGACTGATGTGTGACAGCAAGCTGCAAGCACCAGACTCCCCTGGTGATGGAGTCGTGGGTGCAAGTCCTCACCCTGGTGTTTGGCTCCTGCAGACCTGTGCCGCTGGTGCTGGGCTGCCACGAGTCGAGCCCATTCCCTTTGCTGCACACAGAGCAGCTGGTGCGTGGGGGGCTGCGCCATGGGGGGAGCCCTGCGGAGCACAGTGGTTCTATTTCAGCAGGCGGGGGCTTGGCGGTTCCCCCCAGAGCAGGGGTGGAGTGGCGCTGGGGTGCATTTCCCTCGCCCCATGGAGCACAGAGGGGCTTCGAGGTGAAGTGCATAACTTGGAGAGCTGTAGCCCGAATCAGCTGCCCCAGGGCTGAGGGTGCTGGTCAGCCGGGTGCACCTTTCCTCCCCTGCTCGGCTCCGGCCAGCTGTGTGGCTGGCCAGGGTGGCTGCACAGCTGCAGAACTCTGATAAGCTTGGGGGAGGTTGTTAACTGCAGCCAAGCTGTTCTGCGGCAACCTGGGGCAGTGGGGGGCAAGATGTCCTCTCCCTCATGTTCCTGCAGCCTTTGCAGCCCAGCCCTGCAGGTGATGGTGCAGCCTGGGCAGCCGGATCTTGCCTGTGGCTGCTGCCCAGACTTCATGGCTTCCAGTGGGGCAGGGTGGACGCTTGGCCCCCTTCTCCTCGGTCCGGGGAGGCCTTGGGCAGCAGGGGTGGGGCCACTGCTGCCTGGCCAGCCTCCGGGACGTGCAGGAGGGGATAAGGAAATGACAGCACTGGAGAGGGTTCGGGGTTTAAAAATAACCGTCTGGGCGGCTGCGTGGCCTCCTGGCCCAGCTGTGCTGTGCTGGAGTCCCGTCCTGCCCCAACTGAGCTGTCCCCGCATGTGTGGGAGCTGAGCCAGGGCCAGCGCAGTGCGGCTCCTGCGTGCCTCCCTTGCTTCGGTCCTCCAGCGCGGGCTGTGCCCCGAGGTAGAGACCGGCGCTGGGTGGGTGCTCCGGCGGGACGCTGCCCTGGGGCGTGTGGGCAGAAGGGCTCTGTGCGTGGCCTGTCCGGAGGAGCAGAGGCGGGCTGAGACCCTCCCTGCCCTGGCTGGGGCTGTCTGCAGAGTGGGGTCTGGACCCCCCCGGCCCCCACCTGACCAGTAGCAGGGGTGCTGGTTGGCTCAGGGAGAGGAGCGGCAGTTTTGTCTCCTGAGGTTGGAGCCTCTTCCAGGCGGGCTGCAAAAAGCCTGTCCCTCTCTGCTTCTGCCTGCCTGGGGCCTCCTTGCCCGGGCAGCGGCTTTGTTGGACAATTAGGGATTTACTGCCGTGTGGGGGCCTGCGGGAGGCTGAGGTGGGCAGAGGCCGTGTCACTGTGGCCCCAGGGTCTCCCAGCTGCCATGTCATCAGCTGCCACAGCCTCTCACAGGCTGTCCTCGCAGTCTGCTCTCGCAGTCCTGCACCGTGCACCAGCAGCTGCTCCAGAGCGGGTGTCCCAGCCTGCTTGGGATTGCAGGTGGGGGGACAGGGAACTGGGGACACTGGGCTCTCTTGACCATCCTGCTCCTTTCTCTGTTGCAGATCTTCGGTGACTATTACCACTTTCGGCACAGCGGTGTGGTAAAGCGTTCCCTCTCGCCCCACCAGCCCTGGCACAGCCGTTTGGCCAGGGAACCGCAGGTACATCCAGTGGGGGGCCCTGTGTGCCATCTGCGGGGGGCTGGCTTTGGTCCTGGGCACTTCCACTGGCGTGTGAGCCAGCACTGGGCACGGGACGGGGCTGAGCTGCCTTGAACCATCCCCTGGCATCGAGGCCTGTGGCAGAGCCAGGCGGGAGCCTGGTGCAGGCAGGAGGGCAGCAGAGCCACCGTCACTTGCCTGTGGACTGCCTTGATCCCAGGG